GTACGCAGGGGGCCCAGATTACGAAGGGGCCAGTACCTGCTTCTCCCCGGGGCTCAGAGGGATTAAGCAGACTCGGTCCCCTACTTGGTTTCCCTCGCCTGCCCCGGGGGCCCCCCGCCAGGGTAGCGGAAGCGGGCAGCGCTGTCCGGGACAATGGCAGCTTTGTCACTGCGGTCCTGGTCGTGCCAGGTCCGGGGCAGCCCAGGACCTGGTCGCTGGGGCTCTCTTGGGCCTTCGGGCCACAGGCCCGGTGCAGGCAGGGCTACCGCGGTATGGGATGCGGGGCGCAGCTCACCGTGCGTGTAGATGTTGCCCAGCTCGTTGTGCAGGTAGAAGAGGCTGCGCAGGCAGCCAGAGCCGCTGCTGGCAGGCCGGTAGCCGGTCAGTACGAACTTGTTGAACTGCAGGTGCGGCGGCGAGCTGGCCCAGTCAAGCAGGCGCGGCCCGGCCAGGAACGCCATGGCCCGGCCCGGCCCGGCGCGGGAGGCCCACGTTCCTCTTAACCCCTGGCCTCCTTCTCAGTGGGGCTGCAGCGGCGGGAGGCTCATCCCCGCGCCTGCCCACCGTCCAGTGCTGGGTTCGCGCACGCGCCAGCCGGGGGGTCCCTGCTGGTGCCCCTCCTGCGCTGCGCAAGCGCGGCCCCTGCGCCCCCGCGCCAAGGCGGAGGCCGGGAACAGCCGGCCGCTGGAGCGCAGTGCGGCCAGTCTGCACATGCAGGCACGCCGCTGGGGCAGCTCGGGTTAGTGGCAGCAGCGAACAGTAGTCTGAAGCCCTGAGGACGGGTGTGGCCGGACGCGGGAGGGGACGCAAGGCTCCGCCCCAACGAACCACCCCCGCCATCCCGACAGCGTTTGGCGGGCTCAGTTCCAGACATAGACGCTGTGAGAGCCAATGGGTACGGCTGGCGGGGAAGGCCCCGCCCCGGGGCTGCCCAGGCTGTCACCCTCTTAGCATAATATATGCGGTGCTAGTCTCATTTGCATGGGGTGGCTGTTGACTTGGGACCCAAAATTCTGGGCCCCGGTGGCTTTGCCAGAGTGACCCCCGTGCCTCGAGTCCTCCCGCAGTGTGTACCCCACAACCCCCAGGTCAACTCACACTTGGGCACCCATCCTCCCTGGCACAGCCCCACACCCAACCCCATCCCCTCAGCCTGGGCTCTGTCCAAGGTGCTGCCAACCTGGGCCCTTCAGACAGGTCAGGTCTAGAGCCAGCGCGCCCCCACTCCAGGGGTGATCTCTCGACAGGCCCGGCTCCTGCGGAGCGCAGCAAGGCGCGCTGAGATGTCCTGGCCTCTACCCGCGTGCCTGACACTTCCCGGCACCCTCGAGAGAGGCCCTATCCTTCGGGTCAGGCTTCTTCAAGATTGAGCTCGACCTAACTCACTCTGTTTTCGCCCACAGGGATCACCTTCAGCCCCGCCCAGGACAAGCAGGAAAGGGAGGGGGAGAAAGAGGGTTGGAAGCCAGGGGAGAAAGGTCAGTCCCTGCCTGGGTTCATATTAAGGTGGGGCCCAGGAAGGCATCCCTTCAGTTTGTTTAATCTGGTTTACAGCCCTCACGGAGAGCCCTTTTCTCCCCTTCTCCAGGACCCCGCCCACTCATCGGTCCGCCTGCGTGATTCCTCCGCCCTCTGCATTTCAGTGGGCTCCCAGAAACTGCGTGGACCGCCCTTAATTTGCATGGACACACCCAATCCTTGGCTCCAGTGTCATCAACATAACTTCCCACCACTTAAGAATTTGCAGCCCAGGAGGCGTGGCTCAGCGGTGGAGCATCGACCTATGATCCAGGAGATCTCGGTTGATCCCCGGTGAGGGTACATGCCCGGGTTGGGGAGCTCGATCCCCAGTAGGGGGCGTGCAGGAGGCAGCTGATCAATGACTAATCATTGATATTTGTATCTCCCTCTCCCTTCCTCTCTCTGAAATCAATAAAGACATTATTTAAGAAAGAAAAAAAAAGAATTTGCAGAGCACTATACCAAAATAGGTCCTTTATTCAAAGTCTCTGTCTGGTCTTTTGACCACATTTGTTAACCTCTCACATTTCACTTAGGGCAGCAGTCCAGGACCACCCCAAGAAGGGAATCCTGAAACCAGAGACCTCCCTATCAAGGTCTATGAGGAGGGGAGCTGATTCCTCTTGCCATTTGGCCTCAACCATCTGGACACCTAGAGTCAGAACAAGTTCCCAATAATAGTACCAGATGCTTCCTGTAGGACATCTTGCCTCTGAGAGATGAGCAGGGGCAGAACTGCCCTTTCAAAAGTGGAAGGCCAAGGTAGAGTGCGGCATAGCGTCTCAGGTGTCCATCCCACTGTTGGAAGATTCAGTGGACCCTGGGGGTCCTGAGTCAGAGAGCAGAGATGAGCGAACGCAGGGAACTCTGGCTGGAGGCACTCAAGGGGCGGTAAGTCGAGGCTAGACCCTCAGCCTGGGGGTCCCCGGGGGGGCAGGGCAGTGCCACTCCTCCCGGACGGCGGTACCACACGGCCCAGCTTCTCCCAGAGCCCTGGGAAGGCCTCAACGGCAGGGGCCCTTTTCCTGGAGCCAGCAGACAGCTCCTAGAGAGGGAGCAGACGTCAGCCGAATACCCAACGAGTCTCGCCTCCAGCATCCTGCTTTGCCTGCGATCCCAGGCTCAGTTCCTTGCGTGGACCCAAGGCCTTGTCCCTCAAGAACCTAGAAGTTCCAGCTCCATTCCCCTTCTGGGTCCCAGCTTCCCACAGCCCCCGGCCCCACCATGTCCCTGGGCACCCAGGCTTTAGGCGCCGGCCGCCCAGCTGGGCCACCCTCAGGCCCTGACCCAGTACTCGCACCGTTGGCGCAGCAGGCGCAGCAGCGACAGCAGCAGCAACAGCAGCAGCAGCAGCAGCAGCAGCACCGAGACGGCCATCATTGTCGAGAAGACCCGGGCTGGGGGCATACGGGTGCGGTGAGGACAGGGCTCCAAAGGGGCTTCGCCCCAAACTCCCGCCCGCCTCAAGCGCCCGCCTCACCCCCCACTGCAGCCTCCGGAGCCCCAGGCCGGGGGCTGCAGCTCACATTGGTCCCGTCGGGGAGCGCTGCAGGGGTCTGGGCCGAGCCCTTGGGGAGCACGGGGTTCTCCTCAGCGTCCTGCACACCTGCGGAGAGGGGTGTGAGACCGGGTGGCTGGGATCGGGCCGAGGGGGACGGGGCGGGGCCTCACCGCGGTAGGTGAGCGCGAAGCCCTGCGCGTGGCCGCGCGCGTCGCTGCGGAAGGTGAGAAG